AAACGAAACTTTTAACAAATTTCCACTAGAATTTCAAACTAGCCATTTTTTCCGGCGAAGCTTGAACCTTTTCATTATTTTCTTTGTCAAATTTCAAAGATACAAATTGAATTTTTCACTTGTAAGAAGAAAATCAACTAATGTTTAGTTTTATATGATTGTTCATTCATTATCGTGAGATTTTCTTCTGAAATAATTCTCGAAAATAAATTTACAAAGGATTAACATTCGTTTTCCATTCCAAAATTCAAGAGAATCAAAATGCGAAATTCATTCTCAAGAATTTATGTAGAAAAAATCGCAGAACAGAATGAATTGTATTGAAAATTCAACATCTTTTTGAATTTCTTCCGACAAATGCCCAAGTATTCTTAAAGGAAAAATTCCAAGAGTGAATTCATATAAAAAAAATCGAAATCTACCGACTTTTTTCTATCAAATATTTTACAGAAAGCAAAAAACAAATGGAATTTTAACGAGAATTCCCTAGAATTTTAATATAATCCCAATAGAATTTCTCGAGAATTCGGTAGAATTGCCTGTTGAATTTTTTCATATGTAGGGCGCCAGTAACGTTAAAAACCCGCGCTTGTAACACGAATTTACTTGTAAAAATCCATTTCATAACCGGGACTTTCCCACTTGGATATCCCTAACACTCAACTCATAGATAATAACTCCGTCAACATTATTTCTGATTCCTCTACCTTTCGCCTTTCCAATGCCCCCACGAATTCTCTCGCAGTTGAATCCAATTGTTGGTACTGTGTTCAAGTACTGATCGAACTTCAATCGATAAAGTGCTGTTGTTTTACCAGCACTGTCTAGGCCCAGCATGGCAACGTGAAGCGGTGTGCCAGTTGGTAGTGCCTCGAGGATACCACCGCCACTCGTTCCTGTTCTACCCATACCAGCACCCATTCCCTCAGCCTCTCAGTCCTCTCTCGCTTGCAAAATCACGCATCTAGGATACTCACTGCACTTTGCGTAATCCCTCTAGCATCTGTGAAGAATTCAGGCATTCGTTAATGGATCGTTCATTCATGGGTTTAGATTGGTGGGATTGAGATTGCTGGTTCATGGGAACGGGGGGGATTATTCATTGCTGTTGGGTTGGGAAATTGTGATTGTTTTTCTTTGTTTTGTGGATTTGATGAATTGTTGGGATTTTTCAAAATCATTTCTGCTCAATTACCCAGGGAACTTGTAGTATGGGGAAACAGAGCGCGTCCCGAACATTATCACCTGAACAAATTTCTATACCGAATAGGAATAGTCGAAAGCCCGAGATGCAACTGATGCAGGGATCCCCATCAATATTAAATTTCTGTAATATTACACAAATTTGACCCTTACATTATTGAAGGTTTAAAATATGTTGATTCAATTTTTCCAATAATATAATATTAATAATCGGATTTTTACGAATAATGAATATTTAAAATTTGGTAATATGCAACTGTAAATTTACTACTAAGTAAATAATTCAAATTTTAGAAAGGGGATTTTCGATTACATAAGTAATCGTCAATCTTCCTACCTTAAATTGTCGATTACCCAAGTAATCGTCAATCGTCCTACCTAAATTATTGATTGATAAAATAGTTAAAATTTGAATATTTGAACTGATGACATTTAATTACGCAAAAATTACAAGGTTTGATTTGATGATATTTAATTACTCAAAAATTACAAGGTTGATGTTATTTCAATTTAAGGACTCAAAATTAATTGTAATAAAATATTACAAATTTGGCTATCCCTAAACTGATGTGGTGCTGAGGAACAGGACATCAATCATATCTTATGGGAATGCCCAGTTCACTCAAATGGTTGAGACAAGATGATTGATGAATTAAGGCCCGGCTGTACGATCTTTCGAATGTTATCTGGATTTTTTTATCTTTCGTAATCCAAAATTGTCAATTGAGTGGTACATCATGTAGAAATCCCCAAAAATTGTGATAGAATGATTAAAAAAATAGAAAAAATTCTGAACTTTTTCAAAGAGCGTTTTTAATTGGGATTCAATGAGTTTAAAAAAGTGGAAATTATAAATATCTGATTCGCTGCGGCAAATTATCTATTAGCTGTCATTTTCCATGGTNTTATTAGCTGTCATTTTCCATGGTGGATGACAAAACACTAACTCCTGATGGGAAGTGACAGCTAGGTATCTCAATTTTCAAAACAGTGGTATGTAGTCATCTGGCATTTTTATGTGATAAAAGTGTGATTAAAAAATTCTCCAAAATATTACAATTTTTTTCAAAGAGCCTTTTCCGCAATAAATGTCTCTGTGCGGTGTGGGAAAAGATTTACGAAATCAGTCTTCCCCCTGCATGATATTGGGTGACAGGCCGCCATTTGTCACCGTAAATCAGATACATTTTTCAATTTCTTCTTATTCAACTTATTCGGAATATAAATGAAAAATGCTCTTTGAAAAAATTAAGAATTTTTTCTACTTTTTTTTGATTATTCATTCACAATTTTTCAAAACTTCTGCATGATGCAGGACTTAATTGACAATTTCAGATGACGAAAGATGAAAAAAAACATCGAGATAACGTTCGAAAGATAGTACACCCGGGCCTTAATGAAGATAAAGGCTCCCAGACCCTACACCATAGCCGCATACTTAGCCGAGATGAAACTGAATTATTTGAAAATTACACACGAATACATAAGTAAAAACCACATTCGAATTTGAAAACCTTGTATAATACGAAATTTTGTAATTTTATGTTTAAATGTATATAATAACCGTGTGTGTAAATAACCCAATGACAGGGTTAATACTTATTAATAAAAAATACTTATTAATAAAAAAAAAAAATTTATGATTACTATAGTGAGTCTTGCATTATTTGGAAATATCTCTGAAACTAGAATCGATGATGAGAGATATCATGATTTGATGAATTTATTTGTCTTTATTAAACCTTGATTGAACCTTGTTTAAACCCAGACTGAAAACGAATTCGAGTCTTGAGAAGGTCTGAATGTAGAATCATTTGACAGAACGAAATAATACGTAAAATATTGATATTTTAATTGATGATAGTACTATGACATGACAAAAAAGAAAAAGAGAATAGTGAAATGAGAATGAAAATAGAGAATTCATTCGGAACCAAATTGCTAATTTATTAACACAATAACTATACTCATAAAAAAATGCAGTTATCCACTTTTGTCATTCTTTCATTACTATTGGGCAATCATTGAAATCATTTTTGTATTTGTGTTTCTTTTTATATTACTATTCAGATCATTTCGTTTTATTTAGGGGTTAAATTCAAGCATTTTCCTTTGATTCTTCTGCAAATATCTCTAAAACTGTTAGACCTAGAAAAAATTTATGATAAAAAAAATTTTTTGCCTTCCTTTTAACATTTTCAATCAAAATAATAAAATTCTGTAATTCATGATTGAAAGTTCCTCTCAATATTCAAAAATATAGAAAATATATTTAAGAGTTTGAATGCATAACATCAAGAATTCAAAGTGTTATCACTTGGTAGAAAATAGAAATTTAATATTTCAATATCTCAAGTGTCTCAAATGTAGCACGTGTAAGATAATGAGACCATTATCATTACCGTGAGAGAGCCAAGTCATCAAAAAAATGAAAATCCACACTCGAGTCTCATATTCCCTAATAGGATGGAATTAGAAATTTAATATTCATTGGCGTGTTCGTCGCTGTTGAGACCCTTCGTGTAACAATTTCGTCTCCATGGAAATTCCGTTTGATCATTGAATTTTAATGAACGCAGTCTGAATGAGTAATGAGCTCACCAATTAATTCGAAAATCTGATTTCGGGGTTTTTAGTGATATCTCCATTATTTCCTATTTCCCGACGGCATTCCGTTGCTTTCATTGGCGTGCCACTCGATACAATGCTCCATCTTCGATTAGATAGCACTATTGTCAATCGAAGGAGAGAATGAATGAATGAATCATATGAAATTTTCGATCAAAATCAATCGGATATTTCAGGAGAGAAAATAATTGCTTGAATGATTGAATTGATTGAATGATGGTTTAAAAAATTTGTTGGGATGTCCCTTTGACCGAGTTCGAAGATGAAGGCGATGGCAATAATCGTTATTTTGATTTATTCAAATATTTATTTGTAATTATTTGTAATTTAACTCCTCAATTTGCTTTAATCAATTCATTGACCAGATGATTCAATGAACCCGTCAAATTATTCATTGAGTGATTAACATTTTGATTGAGTCGATGGCAGTTCCCACCATCAGTGGGAAAAAATCAACGCACGACCTAATTAATCCACTCCTACTTTATTAGAGAGAGCTCATCCGAAAATCCAACATTTACTTTTAATCTGACAAATCCGAAGAAGGGAATTCAACTGTAGATGGGATTGAGCGGGCCGTGAAATCCCAGTGGGGCCTCTCATTTTCGTTAATTAAAAGTGCTTACTCCATTTTTATTTTCCTCTTCCCATTGTAAAACAACGTGAGTGCACACTTGAGTCTTTCTTCATTCACGTTAAAGCCCTCTTAAAACTCCTCTAGAAACTGAGAATAAAGATTGAGTGAAAATTCAGTTTATGGAATGTAATTAAATAAAAAGTGAAAAAAAGGGGACTGAACGTCGTTAACCTCGATGCATTCTGCATAATTTGTCAATTACCTCGAAATGGTTTTTTTCTGGTGCTGAAAAAATTAATTGAGATTGCCAGCTGTAGCGACACGATTCTGATAATTTTGATTTTTTTAACAATTTTTTCAAATATTCGAAAAACCATTAGAGGGAAATGTTAAGAATAGGTTTTTTTAGTTCATAAACTTTTCTACAAAAATTACTTCTTTATATTATTTTCTAAATCTAATACTTTCAGAATAATTTTAATACTTTTCTGACGATCATTTCATCATGAATTCATTTTAATGCAGATTATGGTAAGGTTTAAAGACAATGTGAAAGAAATGTTATTAATAATTCATTAAATTTTCTGTAAAAATGTTTTGTGACAAATGTCTTTGAACCTCTTCCTTTTTACGAGATATTTTCAAAATTAGATTAAATTTATTCTCATTTTATAAAATATTTTCCAATAAAAATTGTGATAATTGTGAGTCTTCTAACTTGTCCATTCATCTTTCAGAATTCAATCAACAATTTCAATGACGACAAATGGAATAAAAAATCGGTTGCTTAGTATAAAACTCTAAGTACTTCGCAAATTATCCTCTCAAGTAATCAATTACTCACTTTAATAATTCCATCACTGAAGTTTACAGAACAAAATTTAACTTCCTAATGAGGAAACTTCCGGCTCTCCGACACTAAAATAACTATAAATATTCCTGCTATTGACAGTCCGCCGGTTAAATTAATAAAATCCCCTCTGACATTCTCTGCGAATAGCTGCGGTAGAACGATACATCCAAGTTGGACTCACCTAAAAACCCGAATAGACAATCTTGAACTTAAATTGCACGCTTCGTCAATCACACGAAGTCTCTAAATATAAAAAGAGTGCAATCCATTCCGGGTTTGTGTGTAATCCCACTGCGAAGGTTTAGCAGAGAACTTGAACTGTTTTCAAACGCTTACGAGGCTCTAAAAACTGACACAAGAGCACACAACTGCACTGAGAGAAAAATATAATTATTCTTCTGACTATATTCCATCACCATCATTATAGTCAAAAAGACCTCAACAATTTTTCATGGGTTACGGTAACTCTGGCCGGAGAAGTAATTACTACAATGGAATGTAGTCATTGCAACTATTTTATAGTTCTCCTCACGATAGATTTGTCGCGGTTACTTTTGAACTTTGGTTAGTTTAACTGCATTTTGATTTGCAAAAATTACGTTTGTAAAGTTACTATAATGTTATGTGCCGCATACAAAAAAAAATCGTATCGTTCAGCAAAATGCCTCAACTATTTTCTTATTGTAAATCAAACTTCAGATTTTTCTCTCAGTGTGAGAGACGAAGGAATAGAATATTTTAT